TCTATAAAAAATTTGAAAGATAATCACAAGCCACAACATGTGTTTGAAAGACTGAGGATGTAACCTTACAAACAAAGAAGTGTCAAAGTGAAATGTTAGAGATGTCAACTGTCAAACTTAGTACTTAAGGAAATCGGACATTTCATACTTAATAACCTTAATAAAACCCCACCACCCGCAGGTGGTGGCCCTGCAATCACAATAGCTGGCCTGCATGTCTGTTACTTGCAATGCACATACTCTCCAGTGGCAAAGTTCTATATTGTATTTTTTTATTTCTTCAAACATGCCAAATTCTTCCCTTCCTCAGGGTCTTTGTGCATATTACTTCCTCCTCCTGGAGTGGGGTTCCCCGCCATGCCATCCCGGTACTGCTTTTCACATGACTAGGTCCCATTCATCCTTTCATCACAGCGTCACTGTCATCTGCTCAGAGAGGCCCTCACCTGTTCCTCTTCCCCATATTATTTACTCTCAGTCATTTGTTAGGTCTTATCAAAGCAGTTACCCCAAATGCTCTGTGTTTGGCTGCTTCGCTTTGCCTTGTCTCCCTCCTTAGCACATGAGCCCTCCCAGGCTGGGGCGGCGTCTGCTGCATTCAGCATGAAATCCCTAGTGTCTGGCACAATGATTTGTGCATAGGTGGTGCTCAGTGAACATTGGTTGAATAAAAAAATGAAAGTGAAAAATAAAGGGTGGAGGCCAGGCACCATGGCTCACATCTGTAATCCTAGAACTCTAGGAGGGAGGATTGCTTGAGGCCAGGAGATCAAGACCAGCCTGAACAAGAGTGAGACCCCATCTCTGCAAAGAATAAAAACATTACAAGTGCATCATGGCACACACTTGTAGTCCCGGCTACTTGGGAGGCTGAGACAGGAGGATTCGCTGAGCCCAGGAGTTTGAGGTTGCAGTGAGCTAGGATGATGCCACTACACTCTAGCCAGGGTAGCAGAGAAAGACCTTGTCTGAGAAAAAATAAAACAAGATAAAAATAAAGGTTGGGGATGACTCACAAAAAGATTATTTTTCACCAGCATTGTGGTAAGTGACAAAGGTATTTATTTCTCTCAAGTTTGTTCTTTGGTTACGCATGTTGTCAAAGGCACAAGGCCTTCAGCTATCATCTCCCCAACTTGGAAAGCTTCAAATCATAAAAACTCTCCCTTCAGAGAAAGAAGGGGGGAAAAGGAAAATACTCCAGGAAGCCACTGGCTGCTTTCCATTCTGGAGTTCTGGGGCCCATCTCTGCCTGCTGTTTTTAAATGACATAATCATGTGTAATTTCCTTCTCTGCCAAGTTGGGTTCATCACCCTCTTTCTAAGCAGCTGACTGGGGCTGGGGTGAGGGACAGTTCCTAAAGTGCTGTCAAATCTTTCACTGACACTTTGGGTCTTAAAATGAATCCTCTGTGATTAAGAAGATTCTTCTCCCCTGTGGTCACAAAACACACAGTGACTACAGACTGGTGATATGGAACAGGAAGGGGCTGTGCTCAGTGGCTGGTGATAAGAGTCTAGGGTTGGTCACTAGATTGTTGAGCTCCAGCCTACATCCCTTCCACACTGACAATACTGCCACAGTTGGTCATCAAACAGCAGACAGGAGCACTATTTTTCCCTCTTGACAGTTCTGGCTGACACCACTTTCAGGCTCTTACTGGCGACAACATCCGTGAATCAAATAGATTCTTGCCAAGAACGGAGGTGCCGGTGCAGGCACAGTCTACTAACTTGGGAGGAGCCGCGTCCAGCTGCTGGTTGGGCAGCTTGGTTAGGAAATACGAGTATTTCTGTTTTCTCACCACCATGGGTGGCCCAGCCTACATTTAAAGAGATGAAGAATATCCAAGATCTCATCACGAACTGAGCACCTAGTCCCCTGAGTCAATCCTTCCCAAGTTTTAGAGAGCAAATGTGGCCCCGGTGGAAGTCCCGGGTGGGCTGCACCATGCAGTCCTCTGGTGTGGACGTCAGGGAAGAAGGACAAATGGCCAGGAAGGAGGCTGGAGGGAGAGGGGAGACGAAGAGCACAAGGTGCATCTGGAATGAGCCGGCAAGTCCAAGGGCAAGACTCAGGACGAGTGCTACACTGGCCCACGGGAAAGGCCCACAGACTTGCTGGCAGCTCGGCAGGTGGGACTGTCTTCTCTGCACAATGGTCCTTCAGGGAAAGTCTGGCCTCCACATCTCAGGAAAGGGAAGCCTGCCAGAGAGGTTGAGGGTTCTGATCTTTATAAGGGCTGGCGTGGCCTTCCCAAAACATCAGGGCAAGTGGCAGCAAGCATGCACAGGTGTCTTCCTTGGCCAGTGCTGACACACTCAGTCTACCTTTTGCCTGTGGCTGGCAGCCATTCAGACTGCTTAGGGCCCAAAATGCAATCATCAGTGCTCCAGAATTTTCAATGTATTTTCTGCTTCTGGCAGTAGCAAGAACAAGCAAAGTGGTATTTCTCAAAATTTAGTTAACATCAGTATTACTTAAACATGAAGATTTCGTGGGCCTCATCTATAAAGATCCTGACTCAGTAGGTCTCTTGAGCAAGTTTTCCAGGTGACTCTGGAGCACCTTTGAGAGAAGGTTCACCTCTGGAGAACGTTTGAGAACCATGGCACACAACAGCCTTGCAAACAAACTGCAGTCCCAGAACGGAACAGTGGTGGGAGCACTTCCCTGTAGTACCTTCCTCTTGTCCCTGTCCCCAGCCCACAGTCACAATAACAGCAGGACCTTCCTTTCCATTGAGGGGGCCCTATTGCAGCAAGGCAGGTGAGTGACTAAAGCTCCCAAGGTCCAGAAGGAGGCAGCAGACACACCCAAGGTCTTCTGGGAAGACATCCTTGTGCAGCTGCCAAGACGGAGCTGCGCTGCGGGGAGTGCCTTGGGTCCCCACCTTTTGTCAAGCAACTGTGTTCCTTTCCTTGAGCCACTTAAGACTGTTCCTGGGCCTCCCATGGTTTGTATCTATCTGCCTAAAAGGGCATTCTTTCAGCAATCTTCTCTGATGAACTCATCTTTTCACTTTAACCCCATGATGCTCATTGTAAATGTATGTCACCGTTGGGGATAGGACATTTGCATAATATCTGAGCAAGAAAGAAAAACTAGCACATGGGTAAAATGTGCTTCTGCCTGCAACACCACTGGGGGGCACATGGGCCATGCAGCCCTCTGGAGAGGAACACACAGTGCTCAGTTCAAAGTGAGCATGCAGGCAGCAGCCCCCACTCCCACTGCAGACACACAGCCCAGGAACAGAGTAGAGGGGTAAGAAGACATTGGCAGCACTGTTTGTGATGGCCGGAGTAGAATGCAATCAGGTGCCCATGACAGGTGGACAGATAAGGTGTGAGGTGCCCCCCATAGAGGACGGGGCAGCCATCAGAGGTGCTGAGGCTGACCGCACATGGCCACGCAAGTGTGTCCTGAAAGTGCTGAGTGGACCGAGAAAGAAACCAGCTGGGGTTGTAACCTCAATCTGTGAGTTAAAAATACAGACACCCAAAGCAATGAGAGTAAAATGTCTCCGTGTACCCACCTCTGCAGCCATTGTCATCACCATGAGGTACTTAACCTGTATTGAGGGACAAGAGTAAATACCAGGGCCAGGCGGGGTGGCTCACACCTATAATCCTAGCACTCTGGGAGGCCAAGGTGGTCTGGAGGCGGTCTGGAGGTCGAGGTCTGGAGTTCGAGAGTAGCCTCAGCAAGATCGAGGCCCCATCTCTACTAAAAATAAAAAAATTAGCCAGGCATGATAGCTCAAGCCTGTAGTCCCAGCTATTTGGGAGGCTCAGGCAGGACGATCGCTTGAGCCGAGGAGTTTGAGGTTGCAGTGAGCTATGATGATGCCACTGTTCTCTACCGGGTTGACAGAGTCAGACCCTGTCTCAAAAAAAAGAGAGTAAATACCAGATATTGGCATTTCCCCCAGCGTGTTTCCACATTACAATAACTTATATCTTCTGGCTGGTTCCCAGATAGGTCTGAGAGCTGGTACCTGTGATCAACCTTCCAACCATCATCTTCCAAGGACTCAGGAAATAGAAGCTTAAATCCGTAAATGTGATTCTTGTTGCCCCAAGCTTCTCATGGCAATCCATATTCATCTTTAGAGATGGCATATTTTCTGGGGTTTTCAATTTATTTATGTATCTAAAATCCTCTCTCTACGCTATCCTTTGCAATCTATTCATGTAATATTTGTGTTTCTCCTTCAGCTCTTTGGCTGGAATCATGGACATTCTGCCCCAGCAGACATTCACGAACCTTGCTCTGAAAATGATTGGTATCCACGATTTTTCTGACCATAGGCTTTGGAAAAACCAACAAATTATGTGTGCCAAGTCTGATTTTCCTCTATATCAAAAAAGTACTGTTTTCAGACCTAGTGCAGAGAAAAGAGAAATTTTTTCCCTGCCTCCCTTCACCTCAGTGGACGGTCCTGTAGGCTGTGGACGCCAAGTGACAATGCAGACAGAAAGTCGGTGCGGTTCCTCACCAACAGCCTTGCAAACAAACTGCAATCCCAGAACGGAACAGTGGTGGGAGCACTTCCCTGTAGTACCTTCCTCTTGTCCCTGTCCCCAGCCCACAGGCAGCTTCTTGCCCTCACATTGATAAGAACCAGTCACCAGCATCCAGAGTGGAGTGCAGTGTTGAGGGGCACAGAGCCCAGGGCACAGTGGCCAGGTATGAATCAGCTCAGCTTGCACCCCAACCCCTCTGTGTGACCTCAGTTCCTTAACCCCTGTGTGCCTCAGTTTCCCCACATGCAAAACAAGACTGAACTGTTGTGAGGGTTAAGTGAGCTCATGCAGGTGCAGCCAGCCCAGGCCTGACCCGGAGGTGAGTGACCAGACACGTTGGCCACTGTTCTGCGGTTGAGGAATGATGAAAGAATCACACAGAAGGTGTCCCAAGAATGACCCCTTCTATCCAGCAGACCCTGCTGCGCTGCACCGGATCCCACGCAGTGGGAGGGAAGGAGGGGCGATACCTCTACAGCGGGGCTGCTCCCCTGTCCAGGTGCCATTGGGAAGACACATCACGCTGCTGGGCCCAACCAGCCGGAACCCGGGGTTGCAGGTAAAATGGACTTCGTGATCCACTAAGTACTTGCTTCCGAACTTTTTGCCATCTGGAGGGGCATTCAGAGCCGGGCAGGAAACTGTAAGGAGAAATGGAAGGATTAGGAGCCCCTTTTCCCGGACCACAGCCCTTAGACATCACTCTGAATGACAGGACTTCCCAGCTTTAAGCGCCCCTCTGTTGCGTGCCTCCTGCCGGCTGTGTGCCGTGCTGGCCATTCTGAATGCTCTGTCTCCTCGAGTCCTCAAAGCACTCTTGGAGATGGGTAGTACGGTGCCCGCCTAGTGACAGGCGCGGAGACACTGAGTGTTGTGCGCAGGGCCTCGCAGCATGGGAGGGCCAGGTGTCCCACGGTGTGACTGCCCCCCCCCCCACTCTGCTTCCTCGCAACTCCAAGCCCACTGGGTTTCTTTAGGTCTCCTGAACAGGACGGGCTCAGCCCCATCTCCAGGCCTGGGCTTTTGCTCTTCTCTCTGCCTGGAATGTTCCTTCCCTAGAGCTTCCAAAGCGGGCTCCTTCTCACTCTTCAAGTCTCCACTCAAATGCCACCACCTCCCAGAGTGTTCCCTGACCACCATGCCTAGCCAAGACCTCCCCACGCACTCTCCATCCGCTGAGCTCACTTTGCTTTCTTCTTAGCATTTGTACCCTTTGGAATTTTCTTATTGCTTCTTTCCACATTTGTTGTGAGAATGCATCTGGTCTGTGTCCCTGCTGTATCCCCAGCACTAGTCCAATGCCCGGCACATAGTAAGTGCTCCATAAAAAATTCTTAAAGGAATGAATGAAACATTAATTTTTGCACTATGACTATGTACCAGGCACTATATTAGGCATTTAGGATATATTAATATCAGTGAACAAAACAGCCAAATCCAGCCCTGAGGACGCCCACCATCTAGCAGGGGAGACAATTGGTAAGTGATCAACAAGCAATGGCAGAGTGCTGTCACGTAGAAAATGACAGTAGGCAACGGTGCTGGAGGTGCCGGACAAGGGGCACGATTTTGAATCTGGTGATCAGGGTAGGCCTCACTGGAACAGCGCTGAAGGCGGAGGCACAGCCATGCAGATGTCTGGGGAGGGCAGAGGAAGCAGCTGGTGCAAAGGCCCTGAGGTGGGCGTGTGCCTGGCAGGCCTGCGGCGTGGCAAGGCGGCCACCAGGCTGGAGAGGAGTAGGCAAGGCAGAAAGTGGTGGGGGATGAGTCAGGCAAAGGCGAGTGAGAGAGGGTTACACAGGGCACCTGAAAGAGGGCAAAAAGGCCATACAACTTGTTGTCTGCATGAGACCAGGCCACCGAGGATGTGAGCCGAGGCATGAAGTGACCTGACCTCCAGCATCACTGCCGCTGCGGCTTGAACGGGAAGTGCCGCGGCGAGGAAGGAAGGGAGGGCGGCCCAGGCCAGGGTGGCAGTGGGGCGGGAAGAGACGGTTTGAATCCTGGCTGCGCTATGAAGGCAGAATCGGCCAAATTTCCTGAGGGAGCGATGAGGCTGGAGAAAGACAGGAGCAGCTCGTTCACCCCTCTTCTGTCTGAGGCGGAGCGTCGCGCCCATGGGCAGCCCAGGCCACGTTTGTTTAATGAGCGAGTGCCCACGGTTGGGATGGCCTGGACTTGGATTCAGTGTAGACGGAAATTCAGAGCCACTTCTAAAATGCTTTCAGATAAACTCCAAGTGTCATTTGTCATTTTAGGATTTTAAACAGATGAAAACAAAACCATTGCTTCAGCTGTGCAGGTTGAAGCAAGTGACAGAGTTACTCAGCACCCCCCGTGAGGGGCACATCGGCCAACAAGTTTATCAGGGGCGCCCTGGACCTGAGGCCACGAAGGAGCACGACGGGCCTCCCTGCCCCAGAGGACAGCCGGCGGGCCACTGCAGCTCTGCCCCAAGTCCCACCTGGGCCAGACCCACCCTGGGTTCCCCACGGAGCAGCCATGCCGCCTGGCCCGGCGGGGACGCTCAGAGGCCCGGTGACTGGGCAACGTCCAAATGTTGCTCCGCTGCCTCCCTTGAGTAAAGCCCCAAGTTGGCGCCTGGTGCTAATCACCTTGGGAGGAGCAGGTGAGTGAGAGCTCATGTCCCAGCATGCGTGGCTCCCAGGGTGCTGCCTCGTTCTCTGAAACTTTACAGTTCTTTTTAAGATGTACTTCACTGTGTTATTAATAAAAGGGTTTAAATGCTTTGAGGGGAAAGGAGTGGGGTCTCTTTGGAGATGAAAAATCTTTAAAAACCTTGAAAAAGGGAAACTACCTGCTGGAGCAACTCACACATAAATTGCACCTGAATAGATCGAACAGTATCTGAATATAGTAGGTGCTCAATAAATGTGAATGGGATGAATGAATGGATGCAAATCAGTTGAGTATCAATTTGTAGTCACATTCCAAATGGGAGCTGCAGACCCCTGCCCCAGCGAAAGGATGAGAACCTGTGCCCTGGTTGATTCCTTTCACTCTGAGCACATCCTGTGAGTCTACAGAGCCGTGGCGAAGCTCCCTGCGTCTTCCCGAGTGAGGTTACTGTGTAAGGAAGGCGATCGGAAGTTTAGCCACCAGCGACGTGGGGACATGAAGGAGGCTGTTCTGGATGAGCCTGGCTGATCGGCTGTGATGCTGTCAGGAAAGAAAGGCCGGGAACATAGAAGGGACAAACCAGGCATGGAAGCCAGAAGGCGGAAGACCAAGAATTCTCCTGAACTAGAAATTATCCTTCCTGACTCCCAGAAATGCCCTTAAAAAATAAATAAATAAAATAAAGCAAAAGCTAATTTTCCCACTACCTGCCATGCGATCTGGGCATGTTTCTGGCGGTCCCCCAGGTGTGGGTCCTGCCACCCACCACACTCTGCAGTGGGGTCCTGACAGCTGCATGCCCTCTGCGGGGTCGTCACAGGATTAGCCTCCGTGCAAGTGACGTACCCAGCACAGTGTCCGACACCTACTTTGAGAAACACAGTATATGGTGATGATTTTTTTTTTTAAAAAAAAAGATAATTTGCCACTTTTAAAAATCTAGCATGTTTCAGGGATAAAAGACCCCAAATCTGGGGATAAGAAGATTAATAATGTAAAAATAGCTACCTTTCTGTCTGTCTAGTGGACAGGGGCCTCCACTATGGGGAGGACAGTTGTATAAATTATTCCCTGCAGGCTCTTCACTGAAACTCCCAGGACCACAGGCGGCTCTGATCCCATGAAAACAAGAAGGCTCTGTGGAATTAAGCCATTAGCAGGAAAAAAAAAATCGCTAGATCAGGGCCCTCCAACGGCTTGCTTCTCTTGGCCTCAGTTTCGCCATCTGCAGCAGGAAGGAAAGATACCCTGCTTGCCTTATGGAGTTTGGGTATGTTGAGCCCCACCGAGGGCTCGGGCCTCACCATGCCTTGGAAAGTGTGCAGTTTGGCTGGGAGGTCTCGTTCTGCACCGGTGGAGCCAAGGAAAACAGGACTCAATTCAGTGCTGCTGAGATCTGGGTTTGCTACCATAACCTCTGGCAAGGTAGGAAATCCAAGCACTTCCCCAGGAAACTTCATCTCGCACAACAAAGAAGGCCCTTGATAAATGTGTCTGCAGCGAGTAACTGATGTCAGATATTCCATGGGCTCATGGCTTAGACAAACATGATGACTGCCCCCTGCCCGCAACACCCCCAGGGGAGGCCGGAGGAAAACCAGCCACCATCTCTGGGCTTTGGCAGTGTGAAAGCCGTTACCAGGACAACCAGGAAAAAGTGCCCAGTGTCCGATAGAGGCCTACCCTCAGAAGAGAGTCCGCGTGTCCACTGTAACCTCACCAGACAAATGGAACTTGTCCTCACAGCCCTTCCCTCCCACCCCACTGGTACTAATGGGGACTCACTGGAGGATGTATTTTCCTGCCTGAAAAACTGGAGCCAGTGTTGGTTCATGGACTGTGACAAGTGTACCACCCTGGCGCGGGCCAGGGATGGTGGGGATAGTATATGTGTGTGTGTGTGTGTGTGTGTGTGTGTGTGTGTGTATACGGGGACAGTGTGTGTGAGAACTCTCTGTGCTTTCCACTCAGTTTTGCTGTGCACTTAAAAATGCTCCAAAAATAGTCTATGAAATTAAAATAAAAAACAAAAACAAAACTGGTGCCAACTGCTGTCTGCATGGGCAAGGCATGCCCTAAAAGCTGTCCCTTTCAACAATCTGTCAGGATGACATGAAGACGTGATAGTCGTTGGGTATAAGAGGAAATGGGGTGACACTCTGACTCAGGGAGAACAGAGAAAGCAGCCACCTGTTGACACTCTCCCCCCAGCCCCACGCCCCCCAGCCAGGGCTAAAAATGGGCAGCAGATGTAAGGCGAGGCAGGGAAGGGTGAGGGCCGCCAGGGGCCTCAGGCAGGGTGGACTGGGCTGGGGAGAGCATCTCGGGGGAAGTGCTAGAGTGTTGCCCTGTGGCCCCAGCGGTGCTGACTTGGGGACCCACCTGGTGGCGCATCCGGGGCCACCCTGCTCACAGAGCTCTGCAGCGCGGCCAGCCGGCTCTTCATGTGGCGGATGCCCTCTGCGAAGCGCGTCTCCTGGCCCTTCAGCAGCTGTTGCAGCTGGCGGATGGCCGAGAGGAGCTGCTGTTTGCTGAGACAGTTCTGGGAAGAGAAGACACCACCACCACCACCCATTGTGACTGGCTCAGTCGCACACGCTCACTCTGGGCCTCCGGAAGTCACCCAAGCCACAGAGTCCAAACTACCCTAGCCGCTCACTAAGCACGATGTGAAAGCGACCTCCAGCTGGACAGCCCCAAGGACATGAATCATAGTCCCCATCCACCCTTCGACAAAAACAAAGCACGGGCAGGATGGACGACTCTAAATGACTGGGTGGTTGAACAACTGTCTGAATCCGAAGTGCCTCATAATCACTGGTCTGTTACTCCAAAACACACGCTCGCCCATCCTGCACTCTATGGTGATGCCCTGAGACCTGGTCCTTTGTGAACTTTTTCTTTCTTTCCCCCTCGGACATTTTAAAAAGCAAATGGGTGATAGAATACATAGAACAGGCAAAACAGGAATGCCCAGTGGTCCTTATACTTTTAAACATATAACAGGGCAAATGAGAAAAAAACTCAATGAGTTAAAGAGGCATTCAGTAAAAGTTAACAACCAGTTCTGATGATTTTTTAAAAGACACAAGAAACAGAAAAAGGAGGATCATGCTTATCATGATAAAGGCAGTCTAACTTAAAGCAGCACCTAGCATCATACGTAATGATAAAAATCTCACGGTTTCCAATCTCAACTGTCTTTAAGAGCCGGGACATGAGAAAGAGCAGAGGAGGGGTGAAGCCAGTGGGGAGTGATAGGACCTTGACCTTGTGGGGTGAGCAGGTCTTTGCCAAGGTCATTCACATTCATTTGCAGGGCGTGTGTTACGACCGCACAGCGTTGACTCGGACTACCTGCGCAGGGGAAAGGAGGTTCACCACGACAATGACGGTCATCTTTAGGGATGGGCTTATGGATCATTTTTTAATTTTACTCTTTATATTTAATTTTTTCGTACCATTAGTTTTATAATTTCAAAAATTGTATAAAAGCCAGTGGGGCAGCTAGGTGGCTGGGAGGCATGTGGCCTCTGCAGCCTGGGTGGCTTCCAGCGTCACCAGTGGAGCGCCACCACCACCACCACCACCACCACGGTGGAAACAGAACCACAGCTGCTCTCCCAGGGAGCCTGCCAGGCAGCTGCACCTTGGAGGTTTCACCAGATGACTCACTGGCCGGATCAATGAACACTTTTGACAAACTTGAATCCCCAGATGCCCCTGGAACTCGTTAATCCACAGGGGCTCCTTGGCCTCCACCATAACCGGGTCCTGATGGGGCATAGCCCCAAACAATTGCTGGGAAGAGAAGTTTTGCTTGTTTTCCTTCCTCCTCCCCTGTTGTGGTCCTTCCCACGCAGGTCCTGGGGCACCCAGGGGGCGACCTCCTGCAATCCCCTACCTGTCCAGCACCGTACAGCCATCCCACTCAGCCCCGATTTCCCACACCCACATCCCCTTCCTTTGGGAAAAAGAAAAAGGGAGCTGCTTTATAGACAGCATCACAGACAGCATCATGGCTCATATGTCAGTTACGTTTGTCAGGCACCTCTCAGTCCACACAGAGCTTCTTTGCTACGTCCCCGCACCTCACCGCTGGCTGGGAGCAGCCCTGTGGGGAAGAGGGGCTTGTCTCCCTTTCATAGATGAATGCATGGAGGCTGAAAGTTAAATGACTTGCCCCAAATCGTGCGGATTGGAGCAATAAGGCAGCCTAGCAGAGCTGCGACTCCCATCCGGCCCCCCAGCCACCCCGGTGGACGGCCTGTCTTCTCACACTCAAGCTCCTGTGTGGTGAATGGTCTCACTGATGAATGTGCACTTGGGATCGATAGGACCGAACTGAAACATCACGCCAGATTTCTAACTGCCGTGCAAGTGTCAGGTGGGGCAGCTTGGCAGGGGGGCAGGCAGTGGGGAGAGAACGTGGAGGGAACATCCCTGACCATGAGGAGCCAGCTGCCTCCCTGTGCTACAAGCTGGCCAGGGCCGTGGCAGCTGAGAGAGGACTTGCCGGGGACAGGAAGGCTCAGTTTTGAAGCTGGGAGAGATCTGTGCCAAGGGCTCTGCTGGAGGGGGCAAGCACACTGCCAGGAACCTGGGGGTGGCGGCGTGGGGCTCCAGGAAGCAAAGAAAGAAGGGAGTGTGTGCGGAGGGAAAGCAACCGTTCTCCAGTTGGCACTGGGCAGCTGAGTATCTCTATCTACAGTCAGTGCAGCTGGCTCCGGGCACAACCGCCTGCTTCCAGTGACACTTCCTGCACCGTGGACAACAGGCACCAGCTTTCCTCCAGGTGCTCTCTGGGAGTGAGATGTGCTCGCCTTGCCAGCTGCAACCCAAAAACCTTAAAAACCTTCAAGACCAAGCAAAAGAAGGCTGCATCCCAGGCGGCAGGGACACGGAAAGTTGCAGGCCGACCTGCTGAGCGGAGGTCTGGGGGCTCTGGCTCATCCCTGCGGCCCAGCGTGATGGGGTGATGCTAACAAGACAAAGCGTGGTGCGAGGAAGATCCTTGGTGGGCTCCGCAAGCCAGTATGCTAAGGTCAGGGCCAGGGCGCCAGGGAAGAGAGGGAATGAGTGCCTTCGACATGAGGTTTGAGGGTCTGTGCTGTAGCTTCTCCTAACAGGGCGGCTCCTTGGTCTCACACCGCTGGAAATGGAGCCCTTGGGCACCATGCTCAGAGTCTGTCGCCTGTCATCAGCACAGGCATCACTGAGCTCATCTGCAGGGCTGGGCGATGAGCTGGAACCCTACAGACCAAGGCAGGTGCTCAAGAGACCTACATTATGGGGACAAATCGGGTCACTGGAGGGGGACTGAGAACCCAAGTGTCTCCCTTGTTCTAACTGAGAAAGCTTCCTCATTTTGTTTGATCACAAAAAGAAAGCATATTCCCTGCAAAACAATTCAAACTACAGAAAAACACATCAAAACAGAGAGCAAGTCCCATGACCAGAGACACAGACAACTGCTGTTAAGTTTTGGTTCAGTTTCAACCTTGGGGTCGGACGCAGGTGTGCACTGCGCAAGCATCGTCACGCAGGACTGTAGGACGCAGGTTCTGTGTCAGCCCTTTGTCCTCAGGCTGGCTGTGGCCTCAGCGCCGGCTGCAGCGTCATTGTCACGTCAATGAGCAGAGCAACCTGCCTGACCCCTGGGTCTCAGGTTCACTTCTGTCCCTCAGGGTGCTCTGTTCAGTCTGGGGAGGGGGCTCCTTGCCCACCCCACAGTTGTCTGCCAGCGCCCCACCCACACCCGCCACCAGCCCCTGCACTCAGCCGAGAGGAGCCAGGCACAGGAACACGTCATTTCCTTCTTTGCAGACGTAGCCCTGGCTGAGGTCAGCCTGAGGGGCTGCGAGGGGCTGTGGGCAGGAAGTGGGCCAGACCCCCAGGGGTTGTCTACCTGCGTTTCAGTGACGGGCTGGCTTTGGGCAGCTCTTTCCCATCTCAGGGTTCCACACCCTTCCAGAGCTGACCTCCTGCTCCGTGGGAAAGCTCACTAAGGCTGTGATCTGGCCAAGGTCAAATCCGGACAGGGCCGAAGAAAAGGGCATATCCCAAAGGCCGGTACCTTGAAGCTCACTTTACAGGCTTCTTCCAGGGCTCCCGAGGGGCCCTCGCTGTAAATCTTTTTTTAAAAAGCGATCCCCTCAAGTGACTTCAGCTTTTATCCCTTCGAAACCAGGCTCTTTGCCAGGCTTATGCCATTGACAATAAACAATGAAAAATACTTTCCATTTCTTTAATAACTTATTTGAAATGGAACCAAGAAAAGATACTCGATGAAACTTCCATGTTTGAGGAGAAAAAGATGAAGATTTACCGTTTCTGTTATGAAACTCTATAAAGGGCGGGCGGGCAGCTCATCTAATTTGACACCAGCGGCAGCGTCCGCAGAGAAGACGTGAACCAGTTTGACAAGTGGCAACATATATCACCCCATCCGGGCCTTCCCGAGCTGGGGTGCAGAGGTGGCATGGATGGTTCTGGAATACACAGGCCAGCTGGAAGGGCAGGGGGAGGTGGCCCTAAGGCTGGTGGGAACAAGAAAGCCCCCAGAACACCCTATCCACCCCTGCCCGCCTCAGGGGAATTCTTGTCCTTCTTCCCTCCAAGCCATCGTCTCGGCATTTCCTCTGGTGGATCTACTGGAGACTCCTCAGAGCCTACAGTGCTCCCCTTTCTCTGAGACTGGCCAGAGCCCCAGGAGAGGTGGCCCTCCAGAGACACTTTGCACCCCCAGATCCCACCTGCTGGCCCGGGGGCGCACACAGCCAAGGACAGCTATGTGTTCCCCTCCAGCTCACCCCATCTCCATGCCAGAACGCAGTGAGCCTGACCCCTCCCATCCCATCCAGGCCTCCCTGCTATCTGGGCTCTAGGGTTCAAGACACTGCCTGCTATCACGGCACTGAAGGGCACGGGAAGATGCTTCGGGGGTATATAGGGGGACAGGGGGGCGGTACTTGAGGCTTTTGTTCTCCTCGGACCTGGCTAGATGGGTTTCCTCATAGTGACGGTCTTGGCATGGTGACAACTTCCTAGAGCCACCTTCGTGACAGCAGAGCTCTGAGCCTTCGGGTGGCCACAGATGACCCCTCAGACTTGGAGGGGCCGTTCCTCGTGCTGGTTTCTCCTAAGCCACAGCTATGTGTCCCGTCAGCATTTTGCTAATGGGAACACAGATGTTTTGATGCCGTAGGTCTATGAAAGGACCGAGCACACTTGCCAAATGTGTGCCTGCTGGCCAAGGCTCGAAGCCCTCGGCGTCTGAGTCATGTTGAATCTGTGCATGTGCTTTCTCCAGAACTGATTTTTATTTCAGACCAAGCCAGAGGCGGGTTATAACTCCGCAACATTTCATCCCAGTGATCTCTTCTTAGCACCCACACAAAAGAGGAGGGAAAGTGGGCGCTTCTGGGGAAGTAAGAGAATTTCACTTGGGAAGCTGCTCAAGGCCCTTGTATTGGTCAGGATTCTCCGGAGAAACGGAAGCTGTAGGATATATATATAAAATAGATACATATATATACACACATATAAAATATGTAATATATAACATATATTAAT